CTATATGTCATCATAGATTATAATGATGTTTAATCGAAATTCATTATTTCATATCAAATATATTCATGATTCAAAAAATATTAGTAGGTTCATTCGCCTTTTCAATGGAAAAGCTAGTCTCTTCGATATAATTCCAAAATTTCGAATACCTTCATTCGGGATTTGTCCATGTGTTTTCCGAGTTCAAACTCAAACTCAGTTTGAGGATTTGACTGAGCTCTCTCTCCAGCAAGCTCTCTTTTATTCAATCATTATTTTAGTAGCAGAGGAATAAAGGGTGTTGAAATCGCACATCACCAAAGAGATAATTTTTCAGGTGAGTGCGTAGATTCGAGGGAATAAATGCTTCATGATTGATAGTTAGAAACGTCAGATGAATCTTTTCAGAAAGTGCCATGACATACATTAGAGCTTAATCTTCTGTCTTTGAATTTGAGTAGTTACAACGGGATAGTCACCGCGCTAATGGGATATATAATAAGGTTAATTCGACGCTTTCGTCGTGACGTGAATGAATTCCTCGAATTATGAGAAAATGTGAGCAGAATTACTTTTTTTTTATCTGGGATCTTCATCAAACGCCAGGAATTTTTTCGCTCATCACCGCCTAACTGATTAGGATTTTATGAGGGATTACTTGGGTATTATTTAATTTAGGATTTTCTGTTATTGCTTTCATGAAATTTCGCCAACTTCAAAGAGGAAGTTTTTTTTTCAATTACGGTGTTTTATTTTAAGCTTTATTTTTGTGGCGCAAATTGACCCGATCCGAAATTTTTCGGACTGTGAATGTCGAAAATGAACTTGAATATTCACTAAACTAAAGAAATTTCATACGCGCTCATTGGCAGCAGGAATATCAGATGTGTGAGCTGAGCGCATTGCTTTTATAAACGGCCAGTTACGTGTTGCGAGTTGCTCTGAATTATGTGTTAAGCAAATTGCAGTCGCAAATAAACATGCGCTTCTATTTAACTCGAGAAAATTGTTCGTTTCTTACATGCGCATTGACTGTGCGTATGAACAGCTGATGCGTGAGTTGAGTTGTTTTTGAACTGGGGCCGTATTATCAAAACTTCTTAAGTACGCAAAAATCGACTTACGAGTGGCGTAAGTGCTGACTTGATGACGTAACTCTCGAGCTGGTATTATCAAAACATTTGCGCGGGAAGATACGTAACGTAACTGTACGCCTGCTTGGAGATGTCGTAAGTGGAGTTCCGCACAAGTTTAGAGTGTCTGCTGAAGCGATAGGAAACTATTGATTTACTAGCAAGTAGCAAAACTTTGACTTGTGATAGAATTTTGTCAATAATCCGAAAGTGCGGATTATACACGCATAGAATGTTGGCCCTAGCTGCCCTACTTGTGATGGCTCCACTACTTGATGGCACGATCAAAGTATGTGATCGTGCTAAACAGTGCTATTGGAAAAAAATTCCATTCATTTAAAAAAAAAATTTCATTCATTTTCAAAAATTCAATTCATTCATTCTTTCTAGTCTGTACTTCATATCTCTGCCAACCATAATTTTTAGGTCCGTACACAGATTTCTTCTTCAACTCACGCTGTTTATTAAAAAGAGTTCACAACTATTTTGGAACGGCTTTTTCTGGGCCAACAAGGAGCAATACCGATTCAATACCGACAGACAGCATTCGATAGTCGATGCCATTGAAGGCATCGATTCCCGCCATCGAAGTTCACAGAATGTAAACAAATCCAAAGCCTCTGATTGGTCAGTTGGCCAGATGGTTTTGATAGTACGCTTTTAGCTAAGTCTTACGTACGAATGTTTTGATAATGCCAAAATTAGGGTGTACTTACGTAACACGTAACTTTTTTGTCGGAAGTTGAAAGAGTTACGAAGTTTTGATAATACGGCCCCTGGTCATCAGCCGATGACTGTTGCAAATGAAATCGGATTTAAAATAATCGTGATTCGTTTTCCATTTTACACTGGCTCTGTGACTGGATGAATCTTAAATATGTGAGATGAATTGTTCATGGATTAATAATATTCGAAAATCACCGTTCTCAGTGTACTTGGATGAATAAAAAAATCAGGAATCATACAAATTAGATGGATAGAACAAATAAAATATGTTAGTTTAAAATTTAGGTTTGATGTTGAATTTTTTCACGCAAGCACCTGCAATTAATGTTTATATTGTTGAACAATGTTGCCGATTGATAAATAACCGTTTTATATTGTAATGACCTTTACGGGCCATGAAAGATGTTTGCAGTGCGGCATCTTCTGTCAGAGCGCTTGCCAGAATAAAGAAACAAGAAGATCGAGCTCATCTCCAAAACTTTTTAACGAAGATGTGGTGAGTTTACATTGTAAGGGATTGCAGTAGGACTCTTGAAATTTATCGTTTTGCGTTTAGATTCACCTTTGACGTGACCTCGTTTAGATGCGCTTTGTATTTCTTCATTGTATGGGAATCCCACCACAGAGAAAGGCTCCGAAACGTGAGGCTGGAGTTAAGAGAAGTGCTAAGGAAATACACGGTTAATTCCTTTGGATTCTCGTATCCGTCATTTGTTTATTATTATAGTAGTAGTTACATAACCGAGCGCATGGCGCCATTTTCCATAAACAGCTTAAATTGGTTTTATTCAGGAGTAATTGGGTAATTTTGTTGGTAATATTCGAGGGTAAGATTGGGGTAACCTATGATTTAAGCTGTTTATGGAAAATGGCGCCATGCGCTCGGTTATGTAACTACTTATAGTTATTTATTAAAAAGTTTGGGGAAACTAGAATTTGTTTGCTTATTTATGGAAAGACCCCAACATAATGGTGCCGTGCCAGCCGGAGTCGTGACTGGGTAATGTAAAGCAATGTAAAAGTAAAGTAACGTAAAGTAAAGCGAAATAACGTATAAGTAAAGTAAAGTAGAAACGTTCATGATACCGTGCGTTTCGGAGCCTTGTATCTGGTGGTGGATCCCCGTGTTCAGCGCAGCTGATTTCTGAACTCGACCGATGTGTTTTCGATTGTTGCCCGCACGAAGTAACGCTTCCGAAATGACTAATGTACGCCATGAGGACTGTGCCTTGTCCAGCCACGCCGATGGGTCTTCTTTCTTCGTGGAAAACCTGGAATATTTCTCACGATTATTTTCAAGACTTCAGATCACGGAGCAGTCTTTGTCCAGTGAATTCCAGAACGTGCTGACGCAATTCAAAAGGACATGGGCGCCGTATTTCCATATTAACAGCAAAGTAACTCTTGAGGAAAATATCGACTGCGGGCGACGCAAGATAATCCGTGACACCGCAACCAAGTACGCGCCTTCAAACGACAACGAGTCACACAGGTTTCGGCAGCACGATAATTTTTGCCTTCGACCCCATTGTTCGAAAGCCCAGGCCAAGTCAAAAGACCGTCTAGGAAGGGAAGAAGGCGAACGTGCAGTTCGTGATGGCTGGTGCTCCAATTTTGCTGAAGATGTTTGTGAATACTGTCTACGCGCCGGTCACGGAAGTCGCGAATGCCGTACCCGGTTGAAGCAGTGTTTCATTTGTGGCTCAGGTTTGCACTTTCTTCGGAAATGCCCACGTTACAGACGTGCTCGTGTTAGAAAGTTAGCCGATCGAAGAGCGTTACAGCCAGAATATCCTTGTAAGTTTTGTGAATCATTAGATCGTTCAGCTGTTGACTCGGCAGTTAGCATAAATAGAAATGATTTGATTACAAAAGGCGTGTCAGCATTTCGAGGATTTTTTGTCCGTAGCAAATGATGGATGCGCTGATGTGGAATATGGTGTGAATGGCTGTAACAGTAAGCGTCACTTTTGTTGTTCCGAAAGTGTTGAGATAAGCGATGAATATGTTCCCGGGCGCATGAGTGATCGTAGTTTAGTTCAAGAGTTTAACAACTTGAAATCTAAATATAGTCTTAACTTCACTTTGGAAGACGTCAAAGAAGCTTATCTAGAACAACAGCCACAAACCGCAACGAAAAAAAAATCGTTAGACTGGACTTATGAGAATGAGGTAGAAGAAATAGTTGATGAAAAGAGACTCGAAACCGTGGAGCATGAAGTTTCGACAGCAATTGGCCAGAATGTTCCATGTGGGCAGGTAAATGTGTCTAACTCGACGGCTATGGTAGTGGAGACTGAAAGTTTGACTCACAAGTGGATAGTCGCTCACGAGATAATTTCATTCAATGGTTAGAGCAGGCGATGTCTGTTCAAGAAGATTTGTTGAAGCGAGTAGCGACTATATCGAAGGGTTTGGACCGGAACTGGAGAAAAGACTGGGCAGATTTGATCGAAATGAGTGATGATGAGGATGAAAAAGTGATTCGATGTATGAAATGGTGAAAAAGAATGCACTGAAGGTTGTGGCTAATCATTTGAAATCTGTGCGTGAAAGTATTAGAGATTATAAAGCAGGCGTGGCAGAACCCTGGTGCGGAAAGTATGAAGGTAAAATTGTTCAGGAGGCCTCAGGTTTATCTAGGCAGAAATTTCACCTAACGTTAGAGAGTTAGTGCTAAATGAATGATTTTAGAGGTTTCGTATTGTTCGTGCAATGTCCATATTTTGAATTTTTTTAAAGATCGCGCTATTTGTCGGTTTATCATAAATGTTACCTATTGGTCGCGTTATTTCTAAATTGGTCGTGTTGGTCTTGTCACGTTGTAAATTGAATGTAAATAAGAATCCTGTAAGAATTTTAAGACAGTTAGCGTGTATATTTATGTGTGATAAAGTTGTACAGAAAAGAAATCTTGACCTGTTTCGCGTTAGATTAGATTCATGCTTCAACCTTCATCACCCGTATATGGTTACGTATTATAGGATTGTTAAGTGCAATAATAGAATTTTTATTTTTGCACTTGGTGGGGGGGGGTGATGTTAGGGAGCGCCTTTAGATATAATTTCATAGATAGTTAGGCTACGGGTTTTGTCATTTTGCTTTTTGAGTTAACTATTACGTCACCTCGTGTAGATCCGTCATGTTACATGTCATTGCCTAGTGATCCACCACAGAGGTTAGTGCTTGCATTGTTTATCGTGTTCATCTTCAGTGTTGATATAGTGGTGGCCTTCCTCGTGATATTGTGTATTGTTATTTATGTTGTTTATTGTTTATGTGTGCTATATTCATTGGTTAGGTTGCGTTAATTCACGTCTTTAATTTGTATTTATTCTTGCTTTTCAGCGAGGCTCCGAACTTAGGACGTGATTACGAATTAGTGGGCACGGGCTAGAAAGACACACGGTTTATAGTTTTGTAATTCGTCATCTTGTATTTATCGTTCATTTATTATTATAGTTCTTTATTTATCAGATTTTATTCATCCTTTTTATTTGCGATCATTGGTCAAGTGTTCGGGGTCAGAGAATGCTTATTTATTGATTAGTCCCCAACAACATGGCGTTCAATTCTTTACTGAAAAAATTTAACTTCCGTGCAGCATTTCTAGCAGTTGAGTTAAATTAGTCATCGGAAATCGTCCAGGCTCAATAATCGCGTTTAATTCACAAATATAAACACAAGGTCTCATTGAAACGTCTTACTTTCACTTAGAAAATAATTTAATTCCAAGCGGATATCGTCTGATATTTACAATTTTTAGTGTAGTCCAAACTTTACGCGATTAGAAACCTGTTGATGCGATCACTGTCATAGTACTTTCTAATACTAACAGATAGTGAAGTGAATTAATTCCTAGATCCAGGTGATAATCCACCAGTAATTTTAACAAAGATTGGCTAAACACCAACTTCATTATTGACTAAACTGAAAGCAATGAAACTCGACATGTTTTTGAGCATTTTCTCATTTATGGAAAAAAGGCGCTATTGTGCTCGTCATGTCCGCCCGTCTGTCTGTAACCATGATACTCGTTATCGAGAAAATGCGCTCTCAGTCACTCACTGCAGTGAGTACTTAGTTACATTTTTATAATGTTTTATCGTATAACATTGATGGGAATGGAAGAGTTCGGTAAGAATATAACTTTATTACAAACAGACATCGGCCGGATCTCGTTTCCTGAAAGACCGTACTTTCTCTCATGAAATTCATTCAGATTCATCGATCTGCCGTCCATGGTGCATAAAGTTCACTCGTTGTAAATGAATTTTTTGTGCGTAGCTACATATAGGTCACGTGTATACGTGGATGTGCATACGCGACTGAATTGATGATTATTTCCTGGTTGCGAAGGCGGGTGAGTTGAAATCAAAATGCGTCACCAGGTTAAAAATATAAGTAAATTTCAAAGCTTAATCAGTCTGCATGGAAGCAAGACAAGCTCCGGAATATCGGTGACGTAAACAGTCGAATTATTTTCGTCATTGTACCACTAGATAGCTCCTCTCTGTTGACGAACACATTTTAGAGACGCTCTGAGAAATAGCGGCTAGAAGTTGCTAGGTGCCTGTGATTATACTAGTTTATGTCTCTGCGGTCTCTAATGATCCAAATTTCGGTAGTTAGTTTTTACTTGTATGTATATTTGGTCGTATATATATTTATTAGTTTATATACTTTTACTCAAGAAATCAATTGCCTATGATAGAAATTATCCGTGTAGTATTTGTATGATGTGAAATATTTATGATGGGAATAATCGCACTGCGTCTTTGTTTAAACATTGTTTTAAATGGTGATGTTTCGCGATAATTCCGTTTAGGTTGAAAATTGCCTGTTTAGAATATCTGGGGTATTTTTTTCAAGATGCCTGGAGTTAACCGATCAATTAATAGTGGAAAAAACTTAATGTTAACCATGTGAAGCTTTCTGATTTCATGTCGAAGATATTTGCTAAACTCTCAACTTCGCAATGATAAAAATGAACGAACATTTGTCATAAATGGCTTTCGGAGCAGCTCATTGCAGCTCAAAATAATTTGATCAACGTCATTAATCAGTGCAATGTCTTGTATTCGAAAACGTTCAACCAATATTTTCTCAGCGAACTAATGAAGATGTGTTCGTTGACTGCAATAAGGCATTATGAATTGTGATAAAATTATACTTTCGATAACATACGCGAACGATACTTTGATCTCTATATCTGTGAGTTTACATTTGCAATTTGCAAACCATAGATTTCTCCGTCGTTTGAAAAACAGATTTCAGCATCTCAGGTGCAAATTTTTCCATTCTCGAGTGTCTTGCAATGTAAAATTTTCCACAATAAAATTTGCACGGCATTTGAAAGAAGCACTGCATTAAAAAATTTGCACTGCATTTGAAAGAAGCACTGCATTAAAAAATTTGCACTGCATTTGAAAGAAGCCAAATTTGTAACGTTAGTGTTATGGGCAAAGGAGAGGTCAAATGGACAAAGAAGAGGTCAACTCTTTGTGGACAAAGGAGAGGTCAAAATTATCGCTTGTATGAATAATATGAAATAAATATATAAGCTAGAATGAAAACAAAAGTTGCTCGTTGTTGATAATATTTAATCAATTCAAATTTAACCGAATAACATCCTATTGATCAATATCAGTTTTCTGAGCATCAGACGAACGAATGATTTGTCTAAAAAAATTGCGCTACTTTAAATAAAATAGTAATTGCAAAAACCTCTTGATAAATTTATTCCAGCGCGTACGATTTAGAAATAGTAATATCAATTGAAATATCCATAAACGCAAAATAATAACTTAATATCTTCTACGAATTTACATCCTGACAACGGCAATTTCATATCATTCAGTCTGCCATATAAACTTGCAATCAACCAAAGTTCAGTTCACGGTGGTTCTCACATGAACCGGAAGAAAATTATTGTCATAAATGAATATCGGAGCATCTTGATGGTTGGATTATCAGTATTGATTAGTTTTATTAAAGTTAGGCATTTCTGATTTAGTGTTTTGAGTCTCTTTTGACGTCACCTCGTGGAGGTATGATTTATTTATTGTTTACTGTACTTATTCATTGTTATGTGGAGATATGCTATGTACTTATTAAGTTATTCATTGTTTACTGTACTTATTCATTGCTACGTGGAGGTATGCTATGTACTTATTCATTGTTATGTGGAGATATGCTATGTACTCATTCATTGTTTACTGTACTTATTCATTGTTATACGTGGAGGTAGGCGATGTACCTATTCATTATATATACTTATTCATTGTTTAGCACGGAGGTACGCGTTAAGTTTATGTCTGTTTATTTTGTTTTGACCTTCATAATCGATAAATGTGATAGATGATCATGAATATAGCTATTTAAATAAGTTTATTGTTTATTTGTCAACTTATGCGATGTATACTGCTTTGTTGGGGTTGGTTGATACCAGTTCTTAATTAGTGCTTATATATGTATTTCAGAAAGGCAAATTGATTGGATCATCGGAAGAAATCAGTGTAATTTCCTGCAGTTAAAAACTTCTAGACACAATATTCTCAACGTGCACTCAAGATGTTGAACTCAACGAGTCTCCAAAGCCAATAAGTATTGCGGTAAAAAGCTTAATTCGGTAATTTACGCACGCGATATTTAGATTTTTCTTAGTCTAGAAATAAGCAATGCCAAAAATAATCGTGTAAATAATTATTTTACTTCAAATGCAGTATGATTAGATATCCATTTAGAATGTCAAAGCGTCATTCTTTTTCAGATTATTAACCGATTTATCAACAACGCATGTATAATTAGGCAAATGATGAATGATTTTTCAAAAGAAATTATTGTCATAGCTGTTTTCAGTTCTCTAATATTGTGTCATCATTACAACTCACACCATCATCTATACTAATAAAGAAAGAACACATATTACCAAAATTGAGCATCCGAGCAGAAGGCAATGGCATAATTAGAATTTAAATCATCGGCACGAACCTCAAGCCGACAAATTCTCTGCATGCAAATAATATGTGTTCGTCAACTGAGAGGAGCCATCTAGTGGCATTTAGAAAAATGTCATTTGATTATATACGACACAGATGCATTTCAGCTTGTCTTGCTTCATCAGGAAGTAATAAGCAATTTAACAAACGTGACCTTTAATCACGCATCGTAATTGGCAACGAAATCGTATAATTATCGGTAATCAATCGTAGTTGAAGACAATATAAATTCTGAAAACTCTCAATTTGTCGCATTATTTAGGTTATAAAAGAGTGCGTCATCCTCCCCAGACCACTTCAGTACTCAGGATGGCTTCTCACAATGGCCATCAGCGAGCGGGGCCGCTGTTGCTGTTAACGATAGTTACGCTGCTTGGAACGGCCGCAGACGCAGTGGTGTTTCAGACGATCATGATGAACGTGACCGTACTTCGTCCAGACCTAAACATGACGGCATCAGCGGCGTGTGAGTCAATTTAAACGTGACAATAATTTGATAACATTAAGAAATATAAGTATATAAAATTTATTCACCAGAATAGTAGATATTGAGTGACAAATTAACTTGTGTACTGGAGTCTGCAATAATGAATTGTTTGTGATAAACGCTGACTAGCATTCATACAAGCAGGAGAAAAGTTTGGCATTCTGCATTTCAGTAGGCAAACAATATTTTTTATTTCTAATGAATATTTGTCAGAAATTATATCGTAATTCATAAGGATTTAATTTCAAGGGAAAGAAGGATTAGATTATGAAAACAGAGTTCCTGGTAGATGACGCATTCCTAAAAAGCTTTAAAAACTTTCGCTTCATGCGCACTGCAAGACGCAACCAATTAGCTTTTATTTAATTTCTGTAATTCTGAGGACAATTTTTAGGGACAGTTTCAGTTTGAATTTCATGATAACCTATATAATATGCTGGGGCATCGAATTAAATTAAAAACTTTATTCAACAATGGATAAAGAAAAAACAATTGTATTTATCAGCATAGGAATAAAGATTGGTAAAACAATAATTAAAAGTTGGCCATCCTTTCGTTTCAAGATTTATTGACTAATTTTTATCCTTGACTTAATTCATATTTGTATTTCATATATAAAACAATCACAGTCTAAAATTTAAAAGGTTTATGTTGAATTATACCATGTTTTTTGAACGGTATAACATTGATTAGAAACTCGCCTGCCTATACCAGTGTTCAACGCCTTAAGTACGGCGCAAAAACCTTAAATATTTAATGCAGAATCCGCACATTATCCTGGACTGCTTCCAATTATTACAATTAACTTGAGGCTACCCCAGGTGAGTGCAAGGCAAAGTGCTTCGTGCTGCCCAAGTGCAGCGCTGCGTCGTATGACATTACGACGTCAGTGTGCAGCATGACGTACGACGCTCCTTGCAACGTCACGACAACATTTGCTCCTGGCGTCATCAGCCTCTTCAAGTTCGGTGAGATCCTTTGATGAATAAAATCCATTTTTTTAAATAAAGCTTCAAGGGACGAGTGGAAAATTTACGCGATTAATGTTTCTGCAAGTTTTGCTGAAATAATGTCAGTATTGTGTATTAGAGACCTCAAGTGTTTCCATTTGGTATACTAACTGAATCTTTTTCCTAGTTCTTCGAGAAGCGTTCATCACCGAAGACAAAACCGTCAACGGATCTCCCGACAACCTGAAGAAGATGTGCGGTGCAGAAGGCGGGGTTCCGCTCATCATCAACACCAAGCAACTGCTTCGAGAAGCTAGGCAGCTCGTCGCTGGTAATATACTTTGGCCATATTTCCAACTTGATTCACATGACAACCTGATGCAGGAATGTTGTGGGTCATTTGTTGTTGTGTCAAGCTCAACCATAAACATTAGTTAAATGGATAACTAGCGGAATATTCATTTCTTCTTCGCCTTTCTATGAACGATCATCCATCCTTCTTGTAGTTCGTTTGTCAAAAATTCTTATTTGCCGTAAATTATGAACATATAATGAAAACATTCCAGTTTTGATTCAGATCTGCTTGATTCACAATTAATAGGTTTAAAACAAAATTTAGTTAGCTAGGGCTGAGTTAAAAAATGAGTTAGCTCGGGCTGATCAGAGAAATCAGCTTCTCGAAGTTCCCAATGTTGAGTGAATGAAAATGAACTTGTACTTAATTTTTTTAGGGATCTTTTGCAGATGATGGAATATATACATCCCTTGTAGGTACAACGGTCTGGCTACAACAGGGAAATGATGTAAATTGGCACTTGTAGTATTGTAAGCCCATTCCGTACTACTGACAGGCATGCAACCTTTCTTTGAGCCTAGTAATAGAACTAGAAGCACTTCGTCCTGTATGTCCCTGCGAGGTGGTCTGAGCTACTTAGGCTGCAGAGCACGACTCTAAGGGATGAGTTTGACGAGGTTAACTATTGTTTCTATATTTGTTATTAGTGAAGGTTATATCGTGCTAATATAGTCATATTATTCATTCATTGTTGTTAATTGTAAGTATTGTTGTTCGTCCTCTAGGGCACAGCGGAGTCCTTCTCCTCTCGCGACTCCTCTCATTACGTCGCTAGTCGCTACTCTCATTATTGCCCTCCGTTAACTCTTATGCGCCTCTCGGCTTAATGGATAGGATAATTAGACTCGTAAATATCTTTAGTTTATTAAACCCAGTAATGTTGAACGTTTATTGAACCTTGAGATAACAATCTCACAGCACTAATTTCTTGTGGCTTACTTGCAGACCATGGAATATGGCTCATGTGGGGTGCAAATCGGGTGGCCTGGCTGAGCGCTTACCGCACTCCTAACAACGGCCCTTACCACTGGCCAGACAACTCCCCGGTGATTGGCTGCGTCTTCACTGCAAACGACTTCTTTCCCGCTTTATTCGCCGATAAAGCGGAAGCATCCGTGCTCCGTGACGATGGAAAAATTGGAATGTTGTCAGAACAACTAGTCTTCATCAATGCTTTGCCCGTGCTGTGCGCAAGAACTCTCTGAAAAGTCTTCGAAGTAAATATTCATTGTGATTGCTATAGTCTGTTCTCACAAATAGATAAACTTTTAACAGTCTTGCCTTTTTCTCCGCATAAAAAACTATTTCAACCTTAACATAAAATCCATTTTATTCTGGTATCTGGTTTAATATTTTATCTTTAATGTTAGTTTGTCGTACAATCTAGACATCCTCGTCTCAATAGTCAAAATCGTACTCGTGGAAGTGGTTAAAATGTGCTAAACGCCACAGAGACTTACTGCACGTCAAAATATTCCCACGGAAATATTATTTTCTTCTTTTAGTTTCTAGTTCACATTTCGGGAATATTTATTCAGTAATGCAAATTCACCATGCATTGACAACGATATAGTGACTTGTAGGAGCAGCTACCGCTACATGTCTTATAGTGACTTGTAGGAGCAGCTACCGCTACATGTCTATATAGTGACTTGTAGGAGCAGCTACCGCTACATGTCTATATAGTGACTTGTAGGAGCAGCTACGGCTACATGTCTATATAGTGGCTTGTAGGAGCAGCTACCGCTACATGTCTATATAGTGACTCTTAGAAGCAGCTACCGCTACATGTCTATATAGTGACTTGTAGGGACAAATGCTGTCCTGCACGCTAGCTCTCGCCACTCATGGTGAGCTTGGGTTGTGGCGTTGCAGTTGAGTTAACTACATATTACTTCGAGTACTACAACACTGTGTCCAATATGATACTCTTAGAGAGGCAATAATATATTTTATATGGACAGTCGTGAGAATTTTGCCCTAGCCTGGCATCGCAGCTTGCAGTCTATAATGGAACACAAATGATTTAACGGCTGTTTTGCACATTTTCAGCAGTCGGTCGTTTGCTAGGAGTCTCTATCTAGTGGAAGCCGGCAGTGTGCACAGTTTCTTTCTACTTTGTCTGTTGTCTGCACTCGGATTTTACACAGTGTTTACAGACGCAGTTAGAACATTCGGGCCGCCAGCAGCTTTGACTAGAGAAAGTATTTAGCACCGCTGATTTTACTGGTGAAGAACGTTGATGAGAGTAAAACTTGATATACGTTATTAAAGTTCTTGTATCGACCTACATTGAAATTGATAAGAACCTAAAAAATCAAGCATTGTGAATGTCAAATAATAACGTTTTCATAAGTAGCTGGCTTAAGTTTTAGTGCTTGATTTGTTAATTCAATGAGCTGTTGGGGCATAGCTTCTACGTCTCTGTTCAAAAATTTCGTTGGTCTTTGATTCTTTTACTAAACCAACATTTCAATTCCATTTTCAAACGTTCTTGATATTGAAGAGTAGAATTATTTTTAAGCTCGTACTAAATGTGCAACAGTTGAGCACGATAACTTGAATACTGAGGAATAACGAGGGTAAAATAATAATATTTTATTATTAATTTGTTTTGATGTAGATATTGAATGCGTTAATTCAATTAACCGTTGCGTTTAGGGTTTTAGTCCGGTGTCAATATGGCGCCTCATTATAATCATTTATTGTATGTAATTGGCACGTAATATTCACTTGACCTGATAGAGATTGATGACGTAATGTATATAACCACCGCGTATATAAAATATGCTATCTAGGCACATGTGTCTTACCTTCACTAACTTAGTCACGTAACCCGATCCTCAGGTAGAGCTTAATCCAAATGAGCTCGGGAAATTTGCCATTTTTTAATATTTGTCAATCCATGGTCTTCGCTGAAACAAGATTTCAATTTCTTTTGAACTGAACGTCATGATTGCTGAATATTAGATCTACTTATCTATGCCGTGAACTGCCGTGGACTAAACAACCTGCGGTTAATGGTGTGTATTGATTGTAGCAATGATAATACGATTTGCCTTCTCCTAGGAATATATTCATCGAAGATATGAGATTATTTCATTTTGGGATGAATAAATGATACTTCTTGAAACCGAATGCAACGAAATAGTTTTATAATATTGTTTCTATGATAATTTTATTAATACTACTGCAATGTGTCTGGACAAATTATCCAATCACCTGATGTTCCTTGGACCGATTTCGATCAATACGATGTTCATCGGTTCGATTCGAATTTATAAAATATAATTAGCAACGAGCAACTTTATTATCCTTCATGTTGTATCCTTCTTATTATGTGAAGTCGCAGTAACCAAGTCAGTTTATTTGTAAAACTTCTTGAAGGTTTTAGTGAACTACTGTACTGTAACTTAGATGAAAAATTAACTGAAAACTAATCAGTTTTTACAACCAATTAATCAATTTTTGCAACTAAGTGTTGGAAGGATATGTCAATATCAATTATTATTATAATGTTTTACCTTAATTTATTATTTAATTGAAAATTTATTAACGATTCATAAAATATTGGTGGTTCACTCGGTTATTCAATGGAAAAGATAGTCCCTTCGATATTATCTCGAAATTTCGAAAATCTTCATTCTGGACTTAATTGTCCATGCGTTTTCCGAGTTCAAACTCTGACTCAGTTTGAAGGATTTGAGTGAGGTTTCTCCCATATTTTTCTGAGATTCCTGCCACATTTTCCTGAGATAGGAATCACCAGTTTTCTTTTATTCAATGATTGTTTTAGTTGCAGAGGAATGAAAGGTACTGAAGTCGCCCATCACCAACGAGATAATTTTTCAGGTGAGAGCGCAGATTCGAGGGAACAAATGTTTCAAGATTGATTGATTGTTAGAAACGTCTGATGAATCTTTTCAGCGAGTGCCTTGACATAAATTAAGGCGCTATTTCCGGGCTCTAAATTTGAATAGTTTGGCCGTGCAAAAGGGATACAGTGGGGGGAAATAAATATTCGTACACTTGAAAAATTGTAGTTTAATGTATGTAAGTACACAAACTTAACAGGAAAAGTGATTTAAATTATGTATAGAGACGCATAGTATTCAAAAATACTATCAAAAGAAATTAAATCTCAATGCAACAAAAAACAATGCAACATGTTCACTTTTCGGGTTGAAAAAAGTATTCGTACAAAACAATAAATCCGCATTATTTTAATTTAATACTTGGTTGAATACCCTTTATTCAGCTCAACAGACTCCAGTCTATTTCTATACGTCTCGACCAATGATTTGCAGATGCTGACTGGTATTTTATACTTCTTGGCACACCACCTTAAGATTCTCAATGTTTGTTGGGGACCTTTTCTTAATTTGAATCTTCAAATACCGCCACAAATTTTCAATCGGATTTAATTCCGGCGACTGGCTTGGCCATTCCATAACGTGTACATTTCTATCAGCGAACCATTTCTTTGTGGATCTTGCAGTATGATAGGGATCGTTATCCTGCTGGAAAATCCAATCACCAGGTAGCTCTAGTTTCTCAACAGAAGTCGTCAAATTATTTTCCAGGATGCTCTGGTAGTTTGCAGCATTCATCCTACCATCTATAAGTGATATGTTACCAACACCTTTTGTTGCAGAATGATCTGGTAGTTGCAAAATACGTTAACTATGGTTACTGATTACATTACTGGAACGTGCTACATGTTTCTAGTACATTCTGGAATGTTCTGGTGTGAAATATTAGTCAAAAGTTGTTTTGTACGAATACTTTTTTGACCCGAAGAAGTTAACATGTTGCATTAATTTTTGTTGCATTGAGATTTAATTTCTATTGATGCTATTTTTGAATACAATGCGCCTCTATACATAATATAAATCACTTCTCCTGTTCAGGTTGTGTACTTACATACATTAAAATACGATTTTTCAAGTGTACGAATATTTATTTCCCCCCTCTGTATATAATAAGGTTAATTTGACGCAATCATCGTTGTGAAGTGAATGAATTAATCGAATTATGAGAAAATGCAAGCAGAATTACTTCTGTTTTTCTATTTGGGATCTTCATCAAATGACATTCTTCTTCCATTCTTCACTAGCTAACAGCCTGTTAATTTCTTCCATTCTTCACTAGCTAATTGCCTGTACGATTTTATGATGGGCTGCCCGAGTATTACATAATTTAGGATTTCCTCTTATTGCTCTCGCTAAACTTCGAAGAGGTAGCCTATTTTTTAATTACGTTGCTTTATATAAGCTTTATTTTTTTCTGGCGCAAATTGAGCCGATCTCGTTTTTTCGGACGATGACTGTTTCTTCAACCAAAGTTGTTCAGCTATACAAATTGATCCAATTGACGTGTTGATTTAGAAATTAGAACCTTAAGCATATGAACAGGAGCAGCTAAAATAACATGCTCGTGTCGACATGCCCAAAGTTGAAAATTTCTACCGTTGCATAAATCTTGAACGCACAATTCAAATTGCGCAGTCATGATGAATGCTGCCTACCGACGAGAAGTCTTGCAACGAACTTCACTTAAGAAAGCACTGGACAGCAAAATGTAAGTAATTTGTATTGCTGAAAATGTCAAAAATGGTAATATTCAGTTTTTAACACTGAGTTCTTTGCAAGATGTATCTTGGTATCTTGGTACCTGTTTGGGACGTAGCAGTCCCAGGCCACGATGGATCGCTATACACGATACTTCAACTTCCACTATACTTCACTTCACTATACACGATAAGATTACGCAACTCGAATGAGATGCGTGCATCAACCGACGTCCGCACGGGACGAAGAACTGTATATCACTACTCAAGATCAGCGCTTCCGCAATCCGAACTACCTCTCACTGCTTTGTCTCAAGCCGGGTAGTTGATAACTAACCTCCCACTCCTTATTAGGGAGTATAAAGGGGATTGTTTTGGTACCCCTGCCTCTGCACGCAATACACGCATCTTGATGTATTACAAGCAATGCTCGCGTGTTCATGTACGCATATCGCAAGAAAGTTCGCACAAGCGTACGCAAGCGTGTTCACTGAAACGTATCGCAAGCGTCATGACATGAACGCCTGGCATGAGGGTCGAATACAACGCAACGTACGCGTGTTAGTTAAGCACGCGTAATGGTCGCGTGCCGATGGACAATCATTGCAGGCGTAATGAAGCTCGCACAAACGCTGGCGCGACCCTAAAATTTCATTTCAAAATATTGTCCCAAAAGTTTTGAAGCGGCTTGCGTGAGCAAAAAAAAAAAACATTCAAATCAAGAAAACGTAACGCCCACACGTTGACGTACACGCAATGCATGAGTGGTGAAACCACGCGTTTAGAAACTCGTGCGCCTACTCTTGGATCGTATATGGGTTTTGATTCAGAGGCTTGTCACGCTCGCGCCAAGAACTAATGCCAGCTACTGAGCAGGGTAAGCCAATGGTGGCTTGACCAACCGCTGATTTCGTGTGTAATTTGACCCTTATATTTTTTACCATGGAACCACACAAAATAACACCAATTGGGTGGCTGATTAGGGGAGGCAGCCATTTCATATCTGATTCATCTCTAATCCGAGAGCGGCAACCGAAACCCGAACGACAGCGGCATCTAAGTTTTGACAGGGAATCTCGCGAAGACCCCGTGGGGCCGGAGCAGCTACAGTCACATGTCTGTATGGTGAATTGTCGGGGACAAATGCTGCCCTGCACGTTAGCTCTTGCCTCTCATGGTGGGCGTTGGTGGTGTCGTGGTAGTAGAGTTAATCACGCGTTACTTTGAATAATACTGTTGCGGAAGCGGAGAGCTTCAACATATACGTGCTATCCCGACTGGATAGTGGGAAATTAACACAAACCTATTAGACAATTGAGGCAATGGAGTTTTATTTGACATCGCTAAGAACCTCCCTCTAAACACTCAAAACACCATAATTTTACCCATACAATACAATTGATCTAACGGCTAATTGTGAGACGTACCAACTCAGACGCTAGTTCCATACAACTTCACAGAAGTTGAGATTGCCGTGAAGCTCACAGATCTTCCACCTTCTTCCCAGCAGTTAAAGGTCAGAATTCTGTCCCCACCAGAACGGCTGTCTGAGTAAATCCTCACTCTACAATTTGCATAGATTCAATCAGACAGTGAGGCTCTCGAGTTCCTAGTCAGCGATCTCCAACGTGAAGGAGCTCCGGGCCAACACCAAATGAGATAGTCAGGGTCAAAAACCGCAAGTCGCCTTGTCTCCAGATAATGAATAGTGCCTACTTGGTATTGAGGGGTTATTATCCCTTCGTTAGACCTTCGCACAGGAACATTTCCTGTTCTATGCGATCGTCCCCTAATTTGTCAATATAGTTCGGCGTATGTCGGAATAATAGTACTAAGATCTGTACACTCGTTAAACGCAATTTTTGATTCTTCCTAATTTTGCTTACTATCAAACGTTAAACTCAACTCATAAATTTTCTTACGTTTTGAATGCAAGGAATAAATAAAAGTGCAACCAGTGCATGTTATTATTGATGAGTCAACAGTGCGTTAGTGAAGAGAAGCGAGTGTAATATGGAGGCACTAGCCTCTGTTGAGTCACCAGGTGCCAGCAAGGTAAAACATTTAATCAATTACTCTGCTTCAATTGGTCAACATCTCCAAGAAAAAATTATTTATTAATAATCTATTTGCAGCCCATTTATATTATTTGGGAGTTTTACAACACACACTAACGGGTGGACGAGCTAAATGATTCCTGCACATTTGGAATCTTGTTCTCCCAAATAATGTCATTCCCGTAATCCCTAATCTCATGTTAACAACAATGAGGCTTTTGTAATCAAATTAAGTAAAGATCATCGCAAATCATATCATACGCAGAAGAATGAACGCCTATTTTACTATGTATTAATCAAAATACATGTTCTGATAAATACAACAAGAAGTATCGAGCATCGAGCTCAGTAGACTCATCTAAATGACTTATTCTGTTTGTGCTTTAGTTTGTGCGACAAATTTGTCTCTCTGCATGTACGGATATTATAAGAATATCCTTCTAACTACTCAATCAATCGCATTGCAAACGACACGCTACTAACACCGCGCAGTTTAGTGTGAGAATTTGACTTACACAAATTTCGCCAAATGAAACAAATATTTCGTACTTAGGCTGCCGATTAGTGCTGTAGTTATAACAAATTTATTCACTATTCATTATTTTAAAAATATTTGCCTGAATGCAACTAATCCTGCGCTTAATCTCTAGCGCACAATATTCAAATCCCAAAGTCAGCTTTAAAACTTTCGTTCATCTCATGAAAATAGAATATTTGTGAAAATACCAATCAATCTTAGTGTACAATTAAGCTGAACTATTGTGTGTTTTATAAATTATTAATAAATATACTAACTGATTGCAAGTTATACATATATGAATAAATAAATAAATTATACATAAGTTATAAATTGATTCGCTACAGTGCGGCCGGAAAGTTTTTTTGCCATAATTAAGTAGGCGAGAATGTGCATTGTAAACCCTAACAATAAAACCTCAGATATTCTGACAGCCTCAGACCTGCATAGATACTTCGTAAAATTGATATGAATTTGTAGGATTATTTAGTACATAATAGGATGCTTTTGCGTGCATGTGATTGATAATTACTGCTGGGAGCAAACGCTGGGTAGTTCAAGTAGCCTCTGGAGTATGATCTCTAATTTAACCATATCACTGAGTGGTCTATGTAACCAAGCGATTTTGGTAATGTTACTTTGAAGTTTTACGGTTAGGGTCATTCGAGCTGGTCAGCAAGGTTGGAACTTGTATGAAGATTGTAGAGCTAACACTGGAGGATAACTGACTGTAGTTTAAGATGCATTCTAATAATTTGTCGGTGTAAACCCTTCAAAGACTAAGTTACTGAAAAAGGAACCAAAAGTAGAATAACTACTAGATGTTCATGATCTAACCTAATACTTAGAACACAACACCGGGTACCCAATCGTTCTTTGAACTGCAGAACGCTGGATCACGTTGTTTCCCACGAGCATTGTTGCTGGTCCATCAGAGAAGTAGTAGTCCTGTACATCTGTTGCATGCGAGGCGCAGTTGTGGATGTCGGTGCCGTCAGGCCAGACGAAGTTCTGGTAGGGCTTGGAGTCGTTGCAGGAGGCGCTCAGCCAGGCAAACTTTTCTTTACTCAAATTTAATGTGCCGTTATCTGTTGAAAGTAGAGCGGTCAATAATGACGGACTCAATGAACAACAAAGAAGCAATGATAATTAGGACCTGTTATAAAATATGAGGTAAGAAAATCTGACTGATTGACTAGGGATCGATTAAAATTGACTAATATTTTAATGACGCTGTCGCGCAAGAGATATTCCAATTTATTGATTTCTTTGGCGGTAGACACTAATAATTTGCCCTTTTCCTATAATTACATGAGAAACTTGCACTCGTATAATTAGGAAAAAGTCTGAATTGCTGATGAATCACAAATATTCTCATTAATTTTTTGCAATACATAGCCGCGTATAGACTTGATAACGATTGCGTCTTGCCAAGTCCTGGACGAAGTGAAATTTGAGAAGCTCCGCTATCGTTATGAGTTTGTGATGTAGGTATTCATGCGTGATGACGTGCCGTATGATTTGGGATGGTAACAACATTAATTGTGTAAGACAACTGGAGAAAAGATTTTTCAGAAATGAAAAGACAAAATTTGTATAGGAACCTAGAAGATGGTATCAAAGTGTTCTATGTAAGTTATTTCCCGAATTAAATTCATTATTTTTCAAAATCACACAGAACAAGCAAATCTCACCCTTGACGAGTTGCACTGCCTGGTCTCTGACTTGCTTGGTCTTGATGACGAGAGGCTCGCCGCCTTCTGCCCGGCAGAGACCCCGCTGGTTCGCCAGAGACCCGTTGGCTGTTTGGATCTTGGTGAGGAAAACGTCTCCGACGACTGTGTCTGTGGTTGATGGAAATTTTCCCAAATATCTCATGCTTCAATGCAACTATACATAAATAAATTAAAATCAGTCAACTACGGGCAATTGGTAAGTTGCTCTCTTAAACGTTGTTCTCAACCAGTTCAGTTTTTCAACATAGCCCTCATATAATTATTCACTCAATTCGCAGTGTTGCATCAATAAACACTCGACGAGAGACCGTATCAGTTGCTGATATCAAGGCATTAAATATACTGTATGTACTCGTAAATAAAGAGATAACATTAACAGTCTTGTCAATGCTAATGCACATAGCAAAAAATGTTGGAACGGTGCAAGGTGCCGGTGGAACCTTGCGTCCTGGTAAAACCTTGCATCCTGGTGGAACCTTGCATCCTGGTGGAACCTTGCACCCTGGTGGAACCTGACGAATCATATAATAATACAGAAGAATCGTATAATACAACAGACGAATCTTTTAATGCAACAGACGAATCATATAATAAAACTGAAGAATCGTATAATGCAACAGACGAATTTTTTAATGCAACAGACGAATAATATAATGCATCAGTTGAATCTTGTAATACATCATACGAATCATTAATGCAACATACGAATAATTGATCAAGTTTCGCGGGCGTATGTTTATATAGATGAACTGTCAATTTCCGATGAACTGAAAGAATTTCCGATTCTTTTTCGGAGTAAATAAATATGAAATGAGAGAACGAAATGCGGGAAAACGCGGCGATTGGGAATTTTTTAGTGTTGTATTAGGTCATTTCCGTTAAAGCGGCCGTAGATATGCTAATCTTTACTGGGCAAAGGTATGCTTAGAAATGGTTTTTGTAATGATGTAAAATGTTATTGTTATATCATGACACTTATTCACTATTAACTTGCTTGCTGGATACCTTTTATTTCCTCTATATGGAAGATAATATTCTTAGGCCGAAATCTAAGACAACGACGCTCCAGCTAGGGCTCCAATAGCTCTAATTATCAATTAATGTTTATTATTCTAATAAGTTGGAGAATAAATCGCATTACAATTATATTTATTCATGTAAATTCATAATAATATTAGGTACACGAAAGAGTACTTATTTACAGCTCTGTACAACATATTATCACAGATAATATATTGTAATATACAGAATACACAAAATATATTAAAACAAATTGACCACTGTATGTCATTAGCAGCAGTAAATCTTGCCTCTGACTTAAGCAGCGTTAATTAAACTCGTTGCCTTCGATGCCGCGACCCAGACGACCGAACGTCGACCAAATAAACATTGTTTCTACAATCGGGAACTAATCTAAAAGCAAAATGCCTAATCCATCGACAAAATATCTAATCAAAACTCGAAACAAAATCGTGAGTTGTATTATAACAGGACTCTGGTCTGTTGCTTGAACAGGAAAGTGGACACTTTTCAGTAATTTAAATACGTGTCTGAATGTATGTGGAATACTGAGAGTAGGCAGAAGCGTTTACTCGCATCCATTTAAACGCATGCCAAATATTTCTGACTGCACGGTTACGTAGTGCACACTCCGAGACATTTAAGTTAACTGATATGATAGAATATTTAAAAGGAATGTCACAGATAGATAATTTTACTTACATGACCTAATATTCAAAAGGAATTTTGAATCACTTGCGTGTATCGAAAATTCAGCTAATTATGTAGCCTGACATTCCAAGGTGTTGGGCGTGGCCCCTTGCTGCGACATCGGTGAGCTAAGCGTATCTTAGTTACCATTGATTTGAATGCCTTGACTCCCTTTCTGTGGTGGTAACATATAATTGCTGGAGACCTTTTATATGTACGAGAATATACAAAGGTTTGGGAACGGTGGAACATAGGTGGAAAAATAGAATTATCAGAGAATGTTGAAATAGTGAAAGTTGAAATTTATTAGAATTGGTTTATATATGAGAGTAAACTAATGAATGAGACAAAGATTATACGAAACTGAAATGTAAATGGGAAATACAAATTATAAAAAATTTTGCCTTCTCCATGCAAAAGCGATGATTATTAGATTGAGCAAAAGTTCATTTTTAAAAGCATCGTCATAATAATTTCTGCAGTACGATCAGACGGTGAGTTAACGTGATTGATCACTCGCAGCGACAGTGCATTCGTTAATTAATATGAAAGATGAGCTACACCCGCGCAATATCCTCAGGTGTAGCCCATCACCCGTACAATATGCTCAGGTGTAGCCCATCACCCGCACAATATCCTTAGGTGTAGCCTATCACCCGTTCGATATCCTCAGGTGTAGCCCATCACCCGTTCGATATTCTCAGGTGTCGCCCATCACCCGTTCAATATCCTCAGGTGTAACCCATCACCCACACTATATCCTCAGGTGTAGCCCATTCTCCACATTCAAGACCGATGTGTTCAACAAATTATCCGTCAAGTCAATTGGTGAGAGCGCATCGGCAGCTCATAAGTTGATAAGATTCAATATAATTGAGTATATCGAAAGCTGAACAGTTGTTAAGAATAAGAACAGTGAAATCGAATTTTATCAAGACTTACCACCGTACGTGACGCCGACTGTGGTACAGAGAAGGCACCCGATGCTTGCGTTCAGATTGTAGAGCTGGCCTTCGAACTCACACATTTCTGAAGTCGAACAAATTGGTGAGTGGTTTCATTACCTTTCATAGTATGTAAAGTTTTAACAATTCAACATTTTAGTTGAACTAGGAACTGAACTAAGGCTGATTTCTACTGCGCTAAAAAAGAATAGTAAGGAGACGTTATATGGTAAGACCTTGTTTGTAGCGCAATCAGCATCCCAGCTCATCTTTAATAATAATCATCATCATCAGATATAGTTCCAGCACTCGCTGCGTGAAGATTTGCAGAGCATGACACCATTATTCAAAAATCTTTTGGTGGTCAAACTTAATTCATTCAAATCGAATTACCAAGACTTACATTTGAGTGCGTCATTTAATGCACGCACGCAAGTCATATGACACAGCCCTCATTTTTAACGAACAAAACCTAAACTAGAATCGATAAAGTTAATATCAACACGGCAGCGCTGACGGATGTTAAACTGATTGATCTACATTTATACAACCTACTGTGAACCGTTGTTCTTATCCTGGTTATAAGAAATTAGCCATAATGCACATTCATTAATCATTCCAACTACCTGAGTAAACAAAGAAAACGTGCATTATTTTATTAAAAATCTGTAATGTCAACGACTTGTGTTTTCTGGACAGAGGTGCACGATTTTCCAATGAAAATGTCTCGAATGCGGAAGTCAACCCTGCTTGTATCTAATATTCTCTTCCAGTATCTTTCTATCCCGGATATCGTGACAGCGAAAGAATTGACCTTCAGAATACGATTGAGTTGTCGCAGATCGTATGCAGGAAATTTGTTACTCCAGACAATTCGTTCAGTTACAGACTATTTCTCACACTCATCCAAGGCGAGTTCTTTCAGCTCCTGGCTAACTCAGCTATCCATCCAATTATGGTTGATAAATTAGTACTTGGCTTGCCCAATTGGTGTTGCTTAATGCAAACAAAAATAGTTTCGTTGGTCAGTGAGCCAGTGATGGTCGTGGAACTACCAGTGGACTCAGTGCTCTTAAAATCTGATCTATATCACCTCTCCCTAGTCGCCACTACCAGGATGGGCAATTAAAACAACAGCATGGCGAGCAGGAAGCTTGACAGACGACGGCATAGAACTGCTAATGCCACGAGTGTGTTGATGATGGCAAGCAAGACTGATGTAGGCTTCCAACAGCACATGTCACGTGTGTGGTGATAGAGCGTTATACACAGAATTGATGCACTCACGCTCAGTAAATTAGTTTCTGTTGTCTATACAATATTTAATATCGTGACAAATGTAAATTTGAGAGAGGCAAACACTGTATATAGCTCGGCTGCATATCGAGCACAGTAAGTTAGACATACTGTTGTCATTATAGCCATCACTATTCTTGCTATTATTTCTGTCAAGTATAATAATAAGCGTACGGTATAAGTGCACATTTTAATTTAGTGCAATTGGAAATAATTTAATAGCGAGCTTTCATTATTCACGTATCAAAGACGAGACGAGATCCAGCATGTAAAGGGAGTTGAAACATAACGACACATAATTGAATCAAGTTAGATAGGAGCGAGGGTTACGAAGTGCTACCTCGACACATAACTTATAGAATACAATTAAAAGTGTCTCTTGGTACGCAAAAAAGTTGAAAATTATTCGAGTTCCATTACCAACTAACAACTTTAACATTATTTAAGCACAAGGAGCACTCAATAATATTGAATTTATTCGAGTGACTTAGGATTTTTCAAGTCTGAGGAACATCTAATGATATTGCCATTACTTGAGTCCAAGCTGAATCCAATACCTAATATTTTTTTAGCCCGAGTAGAACCCAAAAATATCTTATCATCTGACACGGAAGAGTAACCAATGTCTTTTACATTTTTTAAGCACAAGGAACATTCGCTAATATTGTGATTTTTCCAGTCTGAAGAGCGCCCAGTATAATTTGACTTGTTTAAACCTGAGAAGAGCCCGATAATTTTAACATGAATAAAATGGAATGAGAACCCAATCATATTGACATAATTTGAACCCGGGTAGAGCGCAATAATATTGACATTATTTGAACAGAAGGAGCAGCAAGTAATGTAAAGTTTATTTGAGTCCAAGGAGTTGCTTCTCTGCCGCCTTCTTCTGAATTAATGACGTCGAGGTTGCGGTCGCCCCATTGGCTCTTGCGCAGCTTGATGGCCGCGGCCCCGCGTAGCGCCCTGCTACACCCAGCATGTGTTTTACATACTTTATATGCATCACGTGACGAGAAAAAGATATGTCTTTAATATGTCTTGTGTGATGAGACACTCGCACACATTTTTTTACGTGTCGTTAATGGCACAAACATGCGTGTTGCGTGATGAGACACACATGCGTGTCTTTTATGAGTGTTGTGTGATGACACAAACATGCGTGTATTTTATGAGTGTTGTGTGATGACACAAACATGCGTGTCTTTTATGATAAACATATGTGTCTTTTATGAGTGTTGTGTGATGAGACAAACATACGTGTCTTTTATGAGTGTTGTGTGATGAGACAAACATACGTGTCTTTTATGAGTGTTGTGTGATCAGACAAACATATGTGTCTTCTATGAGTTTTGTGTGACCAGACAAACATACGTGTCTTCTATGAGTTTTGTGTGATCAGACAAACATACGTTTATGTTATGAGTGTTGTGTGATGAGACAAACATGCCGAATCTATTTTTGATCTTGGCGTTTAGTTAATTGTTCATATATAAATTACATATCATACATAAAAATAATTATTATAGATACGGCGTATATCATAGTTAATAAAAAATGGCACGTTTATAGATTAAATTTATCTTTTTGGTGTCATACTGTATTTAAATTGACCGCGGTAATTTTACTAATAATAATAACAAGGATTTCTGTTATATGGGTAATAGGAAATTCTGTTATATGGGATAGCAGTAACCCAGCAACCATCCGACGTTGAAACAACGTTGATTATTGGATGATTTTAGGTTAAAATGTTGAACAACAAAAGAAACGTCATCAACGTCGAAATCCGACCAACACTAGAAGTGACGTAAAACAAGTTTATTTCAACGTTGATATAAAACGTCGATATCTGTATATTGAATGTTTATTCTTTTTCAACGTTGAATCGATGTTGATTTCATGTTGAAATGCTGAACAACCCAAATTAAAGGTTCAATCAACGTGGAAATCTGACCAAAACTAGAACGGACTCTAAAACAACCTCATTTCAACGTTGATATAACGTCGATATTGGTACGTTGTAATAACTAATTTTTAAACACTGAATCGTTTTGATTTCAAGTTTAAACGCTGAACAACCGAAATTAAACGTCCAATCAAAGTCGAATTCTAACCAAAACTAGAGGGGACGTAAAATAACCTTATTTTAACGTTAAATAACGTCGATATTGGTACGTTAAGTGTTTATTTATTTTTAAATGTTTAATCAACGTTGTTTTCAGGTTGAAATGCTGAACAACCTAGCTTGAACGTCTAGTCAACGTCGAAAACTGACCAAAACTAGAAAGGACGTAAAACAACCTTTTTCAACATTGAAATAACGTCGATATTGGTACGTTTGATCTTGATTAATTTTTAAACGCCGAATCAATGTTGATTATATAGGTTGAAATGCTGAACAACCAAAATTAAATGACAAATCAACGTTGTAATCTGATCGACACAAGAAGAGACATAAAATAACCTTATTTCAACGTTGAATAATGGTCCATATCGGTAAGTTGAATGTTTAGCTATTTACCAGCATGGAACTAATGTTATCGCAACAATCTTAAATGATATACATATATGTAAGTACACGAATAATGACCAGAGAATGCATTTCAATTTTCAAGCAGTCGAAAAGGAGTAGCTTATTTTTATTGCCCATGCACGCGAGCTACCGTGGTCAGGACAGCTATAGGTCTCCAGCGATCCCGGGATCGAATCCTGCTACGGTCGAAAACAAGGTTGGTTCTTCAACGTTTATTCATCCAGAGAATTCAATGTTGCAGCAACCTCGTAGTAGCAACATTGATATAACGTTGCATTGCAACGTCAGTACGACGTTTCATGGAAGACGTTTCATTTTCAACTTCTAGCTCCTGTGTTTGTGGTTGCCTTTATTTACTACTGATCGTTTATCTGCGTGATGTAACTGATATCTTGAAAATTTTGCAGCAACATTCTGATTTTTTCAAAGTCTTTCAATAAAAACGGTATGTTGGTCTGTTTTGTTATACTAAATAAATTGATTACGTTTGCTCTGACGCCTCTATCAACTTTCCTTTTCAACACGTGCTATGCCTGCGTATAAAGTGAAAGCATATAAAGATGTATTTCATGATTTGGGTCTCAGTGACGGTGTGTGATTTTGTTTTTGTTAGTGCATCTTAGATTTTAATAAGAAATTTCGATATTTTTCTCCATAAATTTGATCAAGCAACGCCGGAATGGCTTTGAAATTAGTAACTAATTAAGTTTCTCTAACTTGCTATTTTTATTAAAATAAGGTTGGTGAAAGTCATATGTGTGGCTCTCTGATGGATGGATCATTAATTCGCTGTCTGAGAAACTTCCCTAAATCGTTTCTTAATAGCAACAGATAAGCCATGATTCAACAACAAGGTTTAATTTAGTTCTTAAATGCTAGAATTTCTGCTCACAGTGATATAGCTCAAATTTTGATTGCCTTACTCCGAAGAAACGTAAATGAAAGTTAAAGTTTTCTGGTCCAAACAGTTCTTCTCACGTTGGTTTTTGCCATCATTATTGGCGCCATAATGGCTCAGTTGGCTTAGGGAATTACTACGTATCGACGTGGAAGTACGCTTCCGTGATAATGACAATATGTACTAAATTGACCAAAACGTACTACATTGCGTAATATTAATATCAATCATTGGTCAATACATCTGCTTCCTAGTGAAATTTGTTTGGTGGAAAATAGTGCCAAAATTTATATTACATATTTTATTTGTTATAATAAAATCAATCATTGCTATTAGCCGATGTTCTTTATTTC